TATGTGGGGGTTTTGTTGGCCTATTTTAATTCCTTTGAATATTTATTATTGTATTGTATACCTTTGAATATTTATTATTGTATTATATTATAATCTAAAATAATAATATATAATGGGTAATTCAAACAGTAATATTGAAACTTCAAGTATTGATAAAATCAATGATATTGATGTAGAACAATTAGATTTAAGTAATATTGATAAATTACAGTTGAAAGCAATTAAGCAAATGAGTGAAAGATTAGAAAAACTGGAGACAATGAAATGTGACAAATTAATATATAAATTACCAGCGTTGAATTTGTGTAGTTATAGTTTATTCTAAATTAATAATATTAAAAATTATTAATATTATTAATATTATTGTTCTGGGGTTTCTTCTGTTTGTAATGATTTTAGATATGCTTGGTGGTTTCTCCTTGTTATATGTCTTGGTAGGTTATGGTTCAATAACTTTTCACCACATTCACAAACAATTTCTTCTTTCGTATTATTATACCAGTTTTTCATCATTAGCTTTACTTCTTCCTTATGTTCTTCTCTATATTTTTTACATTGTATTGAGTTGTTCTCCTTCCCTCCGTGATTATGATATTTGTCTTTCCTCGCTTCCTTAATTTCATCCTTTTTTTAACCAGTATCTGTCTCTTGCATTTTCTTTTATTTTATCACTAAACTTTTCGTAATTTGCTTTGTCTCTTTCTTTGTATTTGTCAGGATTTTGTTTTCTGTCTTCCTTTTTCCACTCACTATACTTTTCTGCTTGTTCTAATCTGTCTTCATCTGTTGCTATTGGATTTATTTGATTTAAAGTCGCTTTTAGTTGTTCTTTATATTTTCTTTCTTTCATTGATGCTTCTAAACGGTTTTCACATTTCAAATTAGTTATTAAAACCATTTCAAAATTAATCCATCCTCCATTTTCACGAATAAATCGATATACATATTGATTGTAGTTTTTACCGTTTTCTTTCTCAATATTATTTTTATGAGCACATTTTCGTTTAACAAAATTTGTAGTATGTCCAACATAACAGTCTTTGATACTTAATTTTTTACAAACAATTTTATAAAAATAAGTATTAGAATAGTCCATTACCTTTTTAGGCATTGTATAAGATTATATAGGATATATCTTTAAATATTATTTATCAGATATTTTCAAATATTGTGAAAAGTTTTTCATAAACATTTTATCTGGGTTCTTTTCTAAAAGGTTAATATATAAAAAACTATGCGGTTCATCAGTGGCAGTCTCATATATTTTATAAATTAGTTTCTTGCTTTTATGTAAATTATCGCTTCTAACAATTGCTGATAATTCATCTTGCAATATTTCTATCTCTTTGTAGTTTCTAACTTTATAATAAAACAAATGACTTATATTTACTCTAATAATTGGTGGCACGGTTGATGATTTTTGAAGACTGACAAGCGTTGATATTCCACTATGACGTCCCCTACAGAATAAAGAATTTAACAATTTGTTATTTCTTGTTATTGCTGGATTATCAGATACATCATCCAAAATTACCAATATATTAAATAATTTCTTCGTTCCTTGTTTTTTCTGGTATTCAATTATTTTATTTTGAGTTTCTATAACTCTTTCTAAATCTTCAACATTGAACTCATCCCACCAACACGGTTCTTTATCAGTATCTACTTTCAAACCTTCTTTAATGTATTTTTTAACAGGCAACCAAATACTATCTAAATTTACTGATGGGGACCAGATAAAAATTCTTTCATATGCTCCTCTATAAATATCAAGTATCATTGATACAAGTAGCGTCGATTTGCCAGAGCCTGACGGGCCCACAATCATAGCTCTCATCGGCAATTTAGGGACGACCTCGTGCTTGCTTTGCTTAAAGTCATATTTGATTTCGTCAATTGGTTTTACATCAGGCATAATAAAAATAATATTAAAGATATTTAGAAAATAATTTAATATTATTTATTGTATGAAAGCATTGCTATGATATGAATGGTGTCCATCGTAGTAGAACAGGCTCTTTCATCAACTTCAATCAATAAGCATTGAAGATAATTAGTTTTGTGTCTTGCTCGCGTGTGCAATGAAAACCCCAAGCGCTGTGCCCCACCAATATTCTATTATGCATGAAAATAATAAGATCAAATAATTATGTTTAATGATTATTTCATCTTATTATTTATATGGATAGAAGTTATTCAGATTATATTGATATAATAGATGAAGTAGAGAATATAGAACAAGTAATAATAACTGACAACAGATGTAAGAAAGTATGCTTTTATACAGTAGAATTAATAAAATTAGGAGTGCAATATATCAAAAATAAAATGTAAATATTAATATAAATGGGAAAAAAGAAAAACAAAAAGAATAAAACAGATACTACAGTTTCTTCAACAGATGAAGAAAAAGAAGAAATTGTTAAAGAAACAGCACTAACCGAGTTTGAGTGTCCTATGTGTAGAAAGATGTTAGCAATGAAGAACGAATTAGAAATTCAAAAGAAAGGAAATTGCAAATGTTCTTGTGTGCCATTAGGGTTTAAAATAACTAAAAATGATAAGAAAATGAATATTGATAAAACTAAGGACAGTATCAATCTGGAAACAGATGCACATAATATTTCTATCAAATTTGGAAATGAGGCAACAATGTCAGATAATGGAGATAACGAAACTCAGGCAACTATTAAACAAATGATGAAAATTTAGTACTTAAAGAGTAGATTTTACATTAAATCAATTTTATAAATAAATATTCAAATAAATAATTATATAAATAAATATATATAGAAATGTCTGAAATTGAGAATGATGCTATTGCTGAACTATCAAAGAAGATGATGACAGTTAGTAAACATGTTAAACTTTTGCACGAGATGATAAAAACTATTGACCAGAAACTTGATGCAAAGGCAAACGAACCAAAAGATAGCAATGAAGAGAAGGAAAATATTGATAAAATCTTTGAAAAGAAACAAATAGGAAGGCCGTCTGGCAGTTTTCAAGATAAGCAAAAGCAATATATGGATATGTTAAATAAGAACAAAATTAAATCTCCAAAAACAGAAACTATTGAATTTTATAAACTGTTTAAGAACGAAGAAGGAAAATACGAATTAATATAATAAATATCTAAATAATTCTAATAATATGAATTTATTAGAATTATTTTCAGGCAGTGGTTCTGGGGATAATTATGTAATACATAAACAGGAAGATTTATACAAAATACCTGCTGAATTGATTTGTGAGATTTTGACGAGTTTGACGGATTAAGGAATTTGAGTTTCTGGCACCAAAATGAGCCCTCATGAGGAATTGTGCTCTTTACCCCGGATTTTGGGGTAAGTACCCTGGATTTTGGGGTAACCTGCCTCCTTACCCCAGATTTTGGGGTAAGTACCCTGGATTTTGGGGTAAGTACCCTGGATTTTGGGGTAAGATTTCAAGGATATTTTTTGACACATACTTAATAAACCTTACAATAAAAAACATTGTAAGATTTATGTTTGAAAATTATGGGGATTTTATATTTTGGGATTTTGGGAATTTAGTTTCAAGGAATATTGATTATAGGAATTTCTTAAAATGTATTTAAAGGTTTAATGACATTGTATTATAAGAACTATGGAAGGAAACATTTGTGTTTTAATTAAAGGTAAAATGTATGAAGGAATTTTGGAAAACGGTTCATTCAAAACGGATAATGGAAAATTATGTAGAAACTGTGGTAGAATGAAACTATTTGACGAATTTAATAAAGATAATAAACAATGCAGGCAATGTTCAGAAAACAAAAGGTATAACCGAATTAAACATAAAGATAGATACAATGAGGAGCAAAGAAAAAGATATGAAGAAGATGATGAATATAGAAATAAAACACTTGAAAGTAATAGAAAATGGAACAGTAAAAAAATTCAGTGTGATATTTGTGACTGCTATTTTTCTCCATGTTTAAAAAAGCAACATCTTAAAACAAATAAGCATAAAAGAAATTTAGAAATGAAACAGGCAGAAGAAAATTAACATTATTTTTATTAATAAACATTTTACATAAAATTGTATAAGGTTAATATGTAGAATAACTTCTTAACCTTATATAATATTTCAATGAAGTAAAATTATTTTTCAAGGAATTAGATAAGGTTAATGAATATGAATAATGTATTAACCTTATTTAAAATTTGAATTATAAACCTATATTTTATATTTTGGTAAGTTGTTCTGAAAATTATTTTACTTCTTTCAACATATGTTTTGCTATTTTTTCCCCTCCCCCAAATCCATCACCAGGGTCTCAACACCTGTGGGGGGCAAAGCATTGGAGGCGGGAAAAGGATGGGATTTTGTGATGGTTTAGCTTCAGAGTTTGTAGTTCATTGCCAATCTGCTTTGGCAGCTCTGATTTCTGCTGCCTTTGATCCGTGTTGCAAGTGTCTTGCCGCCACTTGGGAGGTCTGTAGCCGCTGAGTGCCGAAGACCTTAGGGGGGCAGCACGTGAGCAGTGTTTATGCATATTCAAATGTCCACGCAGCTGTAATGTTGGGGACCGCCCCTTAATGACTGACGTTGTTGATCAAGGGTCAACAGTATTCTTCATCATGATTCAGGAGCTCAACCGGACAATGCCTGACTTGGCAGTCAACGAGCCCAACAAGCAGGTCATGCTTTAGCCAGAAGGAAGCCAACTTTCCACTTATGTCGCTTCTCTCTCTCGCCAGTCGGAGTACGGCCAAGCAGCCAAATCTAGCACCTGACCCACACAAGAAGCAAACACCCCGTCAGTGTCACCAAGCTGGGGCTTTCACGAGAACAGAGACACATGTCTCTGTGAGTTGCCAGCCTTTACCATGGGGTAGTATGGTTCTGTTTTGAGTGACCTCCATCTTGGTTGGTTCTAAAATGTGTTAAATGGAAACAAAGGAAACCACCCATTTTTTGCGGGGGACCCCGTATTTTTAGACAACCCCACGCCAAAACAGCAACTCCCGCACCTGGCACCGCCGCCGCAGCCGCCGGCGCCGCCGGGGCGGCCGGTGCCGGTGCAGCTGGGGCAGCAGGTGCTTCTGCTTCTGGCCCCTTGGTGCGGATCCCATGGGTTGGCCAACCCCATGGAGATACAGTGAATTGAAGCATGTACTTGCTGGCGACCGTACTATGACCCATTTCTTCGCTCAAATCAGCGATGCAGAACCTCAGGTCAAAGACAACTCAAAGTTGCCCCCCTGAGTCTTCCAAGCCCTGGAAATAAGGAAACCTGGACCCACGAATGGAGACCTGACTTAAAAATCAGCCAAACTCCGAGGTCGCATGTCCCGCCTTCGCTGGCACGACCACCACAAACTCCGAGCTTTGAATTCCGAGGTCTTTCACCACCTGCGATTCCGCTCGAGGTCCCTGGGGCTGGGCACCGCGGCAACGACCCTGGCAAAAAACGATCAGCTTGTGTGGGTTCAATGGAAATTCAATGGAAATCCCAAGAAGTTAAAGCTCAAGGACCCAACCAAATAGCCATAAAGGGGGCGGTCTGTTGAGCTGGTTGGGAAAAACAAAGGCCCTACATACACCTTCTGATTCTGATCCAAGGGGTTCTGATAAAGTTCTCAACGAACCTGCTCGAAAAATAGACCTGCCAAATGAAGGTGTCATGATATCGCTCTTTCGCTTGTTGTTGTGCAAATCGTCCTTGTTGGGGTTCTGGAAACTTGGACATAACCCCCAATTCTGTTCAAGTTGGCCGTGCCACAGGCACACACAAGTACCGAAGCTCATCATAGGTTCTGTCGCCACCTCCCCTGTGAGGTCACAAATTCATTGCCCGAATCCATAGCTTCTCCGAGCTATTAACCATAGCATTTGGGTGTCGTGTTCGACCCTTTGGGCCGTTTTCAAGGGGATCGCTTTGTAAGTTCCCAATTGTTCCCCAGCTAGAGGGTTCGAACACAAGGCCAAGTCACGTGAAAAAAGTCTCAAAGGCGATGCTTAAGCCTGGAAGGGGGAAATTGACGAAACCCTGGCAGTGCAAAAGGTCACTTCCAAGTCTTTAAGAAGCCCATTCCAGCAGATGAGGGGTAGGCGGTAGGGGACGAAGGATGGATCCCATGATAGGGAGTCACCGGGTTTCTCCTTCAAAAGCTGCACTTTGCCAGCGGTGTCCACTTGAAACGATCGCCACTTTTGGAGGTTCCAAAGCGGGAAATTGAGGAAATCCAAGCTTCGTCTCTCACCTGCTCGTGCTTCAGCACCCTTCCCTTGTGCACCAGCCGCGGCAAATCCTGCCGTCTCAGTTTGCAACTCGAGAGAGGGTGGGTACAACCCGTGTTTGCGCTGTTTTAAGGGGAGTTAGGCGACCCCGTAGAATGCATGAAATGCACGCAACAGCATTGCAAAACCAGCCAATTCGTGAAGTACGAGTAACACCTGGTTTTCCCGAATTGGGACATAGGTGGCCTTTTGGAAAAATAGATGGCCCTGGTACATGGAACAAAACCCATCTAAACCAGTGCCATTTATTTTTAACCAGGCTCACCTGAAAAGGACGCCTACTGTGGATGGACGGAATTCTGCACCACGTTGAAACCATGGGAAACCATTTGTTTCTTGGCAGTTACAGGGGAATCATCATGCCAGGGTTTCTTAGGTGGTGCAGAATTTCGTCCATCCACAGTATGATTCTGGATGCAGCCCCTATGCTTCAACTTTCCCCTCCTGCTCGCCCAGCTCTGGCTTCAAGGAGATCACCAGCACCGCCTCACACGCGTCCCCAAGGCTTCGCCGGCCAGGGGCCAGGGGTAGATATGGCCATGGGTCAAAATCCAAATCGTCCCGCCAGTGAACATCCCAATCCCCGCTAAAACAGACTAAAATGGGTGGTGCACCTACCCCAAAATGGTTTGACCCACAGCCATATCACACAACTTGCGTGGAATTCATGGTCAGCAATGTGACGCATTCGCCAATAGAGGCGTTGAAGTGTGAGACCACCCGTTTTGAACTTGGAACAAGAAAGTCTTCAAAAAGGGACACACATGAAAGAATCTGACATGATTTATCAAGGCTCTCTGAAAGATTGATCGCCTCCAAGTTGGGTCTTGCCATAAAGAACCCAAAAGCACTTCTATGGGACAAAAAAAAACGGTTTTGTTCCCTGGGCGTTTTAGGGGCTAGACCCTTTCCAACGCTAATGTTTGCTGCCCACTAGTTAAAAATGAGAACAGAACCTGGCCACTGCGAAGCTTCACCACTCCCCAAACTCCAGGAAACCCCGGAAACGCCCCCAAGTCGCGCGGGCGCGCGCGGGCTCGCGCTGGCTCGCCCGCGCGTCGTTCGAGTTTCTGGGGCCGCCGGCCAAGGCTTCCACCGTCTCCTCGTCGTCCACTTCGAGGACAAAGGGCTCGTTGGAGCCCACGCGGAGCTTCACCCTGGGCTCGCAGGCCACGTCTCCGGACGGAATGGGACGCACGCCAGCGGTGGAGGACGATGTGTCGCACCACCGGAACGGATTCTGTTGAGTCCTCGATGGCTGAAAACTTAGTCTTTGATTCGCCAATCGGTAGCATAATCCACTTACAAGTCTTACAAGTCCCTTGTTCAGTGGGGTTAACCTTGTCCGAAGGGAGGTTCAGAAACCCTGGAATGGCTCGATTCCCCTGTACAATGGTTTCAACCATGATTTCAAAGTGGTGCGAACGGATTTTGTCCATCAGTATGGGCTGTTTGTTTTGTGTTTTGCCTTTTTTCGGGGGCTGCGTCTCAGAGGAAACTCCAAAAGAAAATGAGAGAAGGGCTCCTTGTAGGGCTCCCTATCAAACAAAGAGGACACTCCACCTATATATATATATATGGGTGCAAACGGTGGGTCCGCAAAACGGCTAAAGTTAAGTATGGAAAACGTGCGAGGGATGCAAAGCGCACGTGCTTGCATGTTCTGACCTCGAAACCATTTGGTTCTAACCAATCCGCGACCCGAAATAAGAAGGGGACAGCGGAAGGCGCATTCATCGTCAGCTCGCAAACGCCCCGTTGCACGAACGCTTATGATTGACCCGGAGGTGGGGGTTTTTCATCCCTTCCTTTTTTCCCGGCATGGTCTTCGTTGTTGATGTCATGCCGAGATCCCGGCTCCATGGGCGCCATCCGCCCCTTGCCTCGGACTGTACCATGAGGCAAACCCAGTTGGGTGTGTCAAAAATAGGGCAACCCCAAAAAAGAAGCCTGGCAAGTGGAAACATAAGACTAAAACCTGCGGTCCTTGTCCTGGTGGTTTAATCTTGACTCATGCCCATTTGAATCTGTCGCTTTTTGAGTTGGTATCCCGTTTTGGGTGCCTTAAGCCAATAGGAAAACCACGAATTCTGGTGGGTCCAACCTGAAAAAAGAGAAACCCATAGTTGTTTGGGTCACATGTCGAAATCAGCACGAATCCGCAAGAGAGTCAGAAGTAGCAGCCCAGAAATGGTTTGGGCATCTAAATGGAAGCGGAACGTGGGCAGGGTCGGTCTTGAGGAAATCAAGTTCGACCCCACTTTCCATGGTTCCCAGGCACTTTTGGGGACCAAAACCCTTACGCCAGCCACTGAAACTGCGGAAGGTCGGGCTGATATGGCCAGTCTTTGGACGGAAACACAGCACATCGCTCCTCGAAGAGGCGAACGTGGATACTTTTGTTTGTCTGACACAAGAAATAAAACAGCGAGTTTGTCAAAAAGTTGTATCATCAAAAATGGCTCTAAACTCGCTTGCTTTCAGCTCCCCTGCTAGAAGTGAATAACTTTTGGTGGTTGAATGGAGAACCCATTAGTTTGCAAAAAGTTAACGTCCCATCCGGGCAAAATGCCCCAAAGTAAATATGTGCCCCTCGCATGGATCCCACGCTGTTGGAAGACCAGCTTCCCCAATCCCTCAAAGTTCCGCCTGGGGCCCCGGCGAAGTTTCGCCGCCGGGCGGGCGGCCCCCTACATCTAGGCCAAGTCTTCCAGCCCAAGCGTTGGAAGCAAATGTTGCGAAGCCCGCTTTTCGGGGCAGCACATGTCCCCCGTTAAACAGGGCTCCCTATATGTCCCCTCAAAACATCGCACCCATGAAGGGAAGCTCACCTGAAATGGGCAAAAAAGGTGATGTTTCAAACCACACAAAAGGAAAAGATAGGGACCCCTGCCGAAGGAAAGCATCAGAAACCAAGCAACTTTTATACCCCAAAGGAGGGGCGGTCCTTCATAGATGCTTGGAGCAACAAAAATCGGCCGTGTACCTAAAAATAAGCCGAGGCCTCGTTGTTTTGACTGGTCTGTTTCCATGCAAATGACCAGCTCGCGTAACCTCTTCAGCGATGCTCTCTCTTATCGCTGATATTAGAGCGGCCTGTACCCACACAAGAGGTCGCTTTGCATAGGCGGGTGTACGACGCGCAACGCAGCAGGCTTGGCAAAATGAGGCTTCATCAGTGTCGAAGGGTGGGCAGGGAGAGCCACTTGAAGAGGAAACTGGCCCACTGTTTGCAGCCGCACACGCCGACCGATGGCAGCGCAAGCGCTTCGCTTTCCGTGAACGCACGCTGAGGGTGACCGCGGATTCTGTACAAGGATCACCCGCAAAAGGCGAATTCCAGCTCGGGATGAAGTCGCAATTGCTTCAAGAACAAAGTCTCTCAGCGCATCTTCGATACCGTGCGACTGGCAAGGGAGGCTATCAGCATTTGCCATGAGAACAGTTGAGACTCCGGAGCTGCGAAGGCAGGAGCCTTCTGACGCTCTTCTTGGCGTGCTGAAAGATCTGAACGTGGAGCTGACCATGGCACGGGAGAACTTGTTTGCCAGTTCGGGTTCTTGCTGTGTCAGTTCGGTCTGTGAATTTGGGCGTAATTGCTATTCGAAAGCCGGGAACGACCAATGAAGGGATCTTCCTTATAGACGAGCTCGGTTTGCCCCCTGGTGAGCCGGCTAAAATTTGTGCAAACAGACTGCTACATCTGGTTGATGGCCGGGACTCAAATCAGGGCTGGTCAAATCGTGTTCTTGGCCGGCTAGATCCGAAGAACTGTCACACTTGTCACACCTTTTCTCACTCTGTCTCTCTCAATCATACCCAACGGAAATTGAAATGCCAACTCACTCAAACAACACCAAATGCTTGACTCTCCAAATGAATGAGGTCAAACCGTACACTACGGACATATATCCGGGTAAAAATAATGATTCGCACCCGCGGAAAAGGACAAGACAGCAACATGTGCGGTTGCCGCAATCCGCCCAAGCACATGAAGTTCTAACGTGCCATGGCCTGTGCGCCTGTGCGCTGGCAGCTCCACTGTGAGAGGCCTCTGTACAGTGGCTATCGGGCGATGACTGTTCTTGCCCCGGCCACCTCGGACGAGCGCCGGCACAAAGCATCGGTGGACACCTGCCTAGGAAGAAAACCAAAGGACCCACAACGGGTTGACAACCTTTCTGGGGGAGGTATGGGTACGACTTTGACTGTCTTGCCTAAAGCCAATGCCAACTGACATTGCTTCCCTGTTGCTTACGGGTATGTGTTCGAGCTTTGGAGCAGAGCCGTGTTCGCCCGAGCTTGGGAAAAGAACCACAGTGCTTGGCCAACGGTCACAGGTGAATGACGTCAACTCAGATTGAATGATTAGGATCCAACTATCGGTGTTGCCCAAAAAGCCACAACTGTCAAACTGAGAACGCAAACCAGTCCAAGTACCCTCCCACCAATTAACATGGAATGAACATGATCTTCCAGGACCCCCCAGTCAGAATCCATCTTAATTGGTGGAAGGTAACTTCAAAGGACATCATGAAAGCGAGAATGGGCTCTTTTGTCAAGGAGAAACATGGGACAGCATTAGGTCGCTTCTGAGGAACGCCAATGAGATGACCTCATGAAGATATGCGATCAAATTGTCTTCCCAAAAAGTATCAAGAGCCCAGGAACCTTGGCAGTAAGGACATCATTTCATGCTGGCCGTTCGGATCTAAATGGATTTCGTCCTATTTCTATGGGGTGTTCCTTCCAAGAGTGGTCTGAGTCCCACATGCATCCGGGGTTCCCAGTACATGGGATATTCATGTCCACCTACCGACTACCAACAAGGCAAACTCTGGCGCCACGTCCGAGGGTGCTGCGTGGCGGACGTCGGATGTTGATCGGACATGCCTCACAAATCAGGGAGCCGAGTGAGGCACCGCTATCTTGAACATGAGCCCATGTCCCACGGATTCCCTGTTGGACATTGAAAAACTGAACCTTCATCGAAAAGCCCCCTTACGAGGAGGCGGCCCCTTGGATGTTCGGCCAAGTAAGTGGTAGCCACTTGAGCGCTGCCCCATTCATAGCAGGAAGACTCCTTACAAGTGTCTTAAACTTGCCTACATTAACAACTTTCTAACCTGCGCAAATATCCAAGCAAGAAGCCTGGCCAAAGCCCTGATAGTTCCTGTGCACCGTATACCTCCCTCTGGTCGGAGGGCATGGGCGCTTGCTTCAAGTGACCCTCTGCACAGTGACCCAGCCCCGAAGGAAGCCACAAAAGGCAGCAGTGTCCACTTGTGAGGGTCGGGCATCTTCCCGCAGCTTTATATGGGTGTGAGTGTGTTTCTGGAGAAACCGAAGGGAAACCCCTGATTGGGGGGGGGTCTCCCCTCAACCAAGACAACACCAGGTCTCGCTGACTTCTTAACAACATTTTAAGTGAGATGTTCCTCATTTACTCGGAGACCGGCTGTTGCTAGGCATTTGGGATGACTGCTTTTAGGCTAGCCTGTTTGTGGTTGTTTTCAAGAGAAGGCTCAATGAAGCCAACCTTTTGGAGAATCATGGATGATCACCACTCCAGCTAACCCCAGAACGCATTTCAGAATGGGGAAGCCCCCTGCATATATTTGGGGCTGTCCCATTTTTTCTTTTTTGTTCTTCTTTTTTAAACTCCTCAAAATGTGTGGTGTCCCTGTAATTCCCATGTAAACCAACCCGCAAAAGGTACCCTCAAAAAAGACACACACACACACAGACACCCATTGCCCAACTCATCGATGAGCACCAAAACGTCAGAGTAACATACATCTCAGAGTGAGCTGCTTCCAGCTTGAATGGAGGTCCACCATGAAACGTCACATGCGATATCACGCTCAGTTCGCTTGGGCCCAGGCGATCTACTTCTCCACTGGCACTCCCTGCACCACCTGCCCCTGCACCACCTGCGGTCTGAAGCGAACTCACCCTGACCCCCAGTAGCTATGGCAAAAGGGCACCTTTTTTGTTGCTGGAGTTCATTTGAAAGGGAAACCAGGCTATGAAATATTTGAGCTTCAACTGGGGACTTTGGTGGATTTCATTTATATGTTGATTAATGTCGACCAAGCATGTTTGAAGGAACACCGCCGTTGATGAAGCTCCTCTTAACGATCACTGAAACACTGTGTGCGTCTTAGGAACACCCAGTCATTCAATCACTGCGGCGGTCCACTACTGGCATAGACACGACTCGTTGCGTTGAGCGTCATAACATGGGTGCTTCTCAAAATAGCGGGCCCACAATAACAACTAAAGGGGTCCACCATTTTGAGAAACTCCCATCTATTCACTTTGTCTCACGAAGGTGAACACCTACTGTATGTTGGGGGCGCATCGAAGCGTGGAAGGCGCACATTGAATGTGAAGACATTGACTAAATGAACAAAAATGTATCACACCCTTTGCGTGTCCCTTCTCTGACCCTTCTGCGGATGTACCAAAACCAAGAGAAACAGGCTGTGCAAGACGGATCTAAGTCGCTAGATGCGATGCCACTACACAAAGTGCTGTTGACATATAAGGGGCTGGAGAATTGCAAAAAACAAGATGCCACCTTTTTGGATAAATGCAAATTCAGAACAAAACTGAAGCGTGTGGCGATGTTGGATTTGTTTGCTTGGCCACGGTTGGCCTTCCATTTTGTCCTCTGTGTGGGTGCAATAACCTCGACATGACCTTTTTGCACCAGCTCCAACCATTTGCACAACAGGCTACGGATCGCACGCTCCTGAAAAAAGCTCGAAGAGACAACACCTGCAGTCTGTCTGTCCACGCCGCCACCAGGTTGCCACACGCGCAACAGCACAAGTCATGATGTTCAAAGGGCAGATGGAAACATGTCGCGTGTGAGAACAAACCCGCTCGGGATCAAGCTGGCACGAGCCAAATCCCCCGTTCCAGCCTGGTTGTGTGCCTGAGCCTGGCATTTCGGACATACAGGGATGTGCACGTGAACAACTCCAACCTTCTTGGGCGGGGGGCATGGGACGGGGGTCTTTTTCGAGGGTACCCCCTTTTTGTGGTTGCAAAGGGAAACCGAAAGGAAACCGCACCATTTGTTTCGGGGCGTCCCCCTAAAACAAAAAAAAACACATACCCAATTGCGTGCAAAGTAGGCGAAAGAACTAGTGCAATGTCTACCCAGGGCTTCAAATCATTGCGTTTCCCCAAAAAACAGTGTTTCTCTTGAGCATGACACATCGGTGTCAGTGGCATATACAGCGTAGGCGATCCTTCAACTGTGTCTTTGGGGGTATCTGTAAACATGGAGTGTAGCTGTCATTGCATAGTGACAAGTGACGTTGCATCTAAACACATCTTCGGAATCTGAACAAATCATCTTCGAAACCAAAACGGGATGGCAACACGATGTGCGAGACCAGCCAGACCTAGGGTTCCCCGAAACATCATCCCCAAAGGAACGCATTGAATTGGCCCTTTTCGGCCATGTCTCCTCCTGCACGGGGGAACACTCGGAAGGCCTGAGTCCCGACTCCCGCCTCTGCCGGCGGTGCTGACGCCCGCGGCACCTTCAGTTCAGAGACGCTCGGTTGGATGAGGCCGATGGTGGGCGAATTGAGCGGGCCATCTTTCGGCAGATCTGCTTGTTTCCTAACAGCTGCTTCCTTGTAGCGTCAAGGTTGCACATGTCCAAACCACTTTCGTTTCGAGGGGAATTGAAGGCTTCTGGTTTCAAAAGGACCTGGAGGTTCAACATCTCCAAACCACCTTCGTTTTCAGAGGAACTGAAAGCTTCTAGTTTCGAAGTTCAACATGTCCAAACCACTTTCGCTTCAAGGGGAACTGAGGCTTCTAGTAACTGAAGGCTTCTAGTTTCAAAAGGAACTGAAGGTTCAACATGTCCAAACCACTTTCGAGAGGAACTGGAGGGTCAACATGTCACACTACTTTGGTTTCACAGCAGGTGCTCTGCCAAAAACCGGTTTCCTCATGGGTGTGCGTGTGTGTGTGTGTGTTTGTTTGTGGAGGACCCCAAAAAATGGCTGGCTTCTTTGTGGCTGTCCTGTAAACCCACAAGAAAGGGGTGCCACCCACATGGCAACATGGCATCCAGTCGCACCCCTGATCCACAGCTGGAGAGTTCGGGACCTTGGGGGGACCTACCTCCGCTTTTCTCCAAACTAAAAAAGATACCCTCGCTCACCCAGTGGATCCCGGCTACCACTATGTAACCAGCCATTCCTTTTGGTTTCAAAAGGTGGTTTCCTTGGTTACCCACAATGGATCCACTGGGGTCAGGCTAACATGGAAGGTGCCCGGTACCCCTGTAACGCGGAATGTCCTCTTCCCCAAAAATCCAGGGAGCTTTCATGTTTGTCTTAGTCTGCGGGAGGGTATTCCTAGATTATGATGGTCCATATTAAGCGAACCTCAAAATGTGTAAATTCATGTCAAAAGGGATCCTTGGTGAATCTTCTAGCCGGACAGGGCAGATGAAGGAAGCCCAAACAACAAGCTAAAAGGATCTAAAAGGTAAGTACAGGGGAAACAAAAAAGCCCAAAACGAAAGGCAAAACAAGTAAGTCTACATAAGTGTCCTGTTGGAAAAATGATGCTTCTGGTAGATTATGAAACAACGAGGCCAACCAGAAATCGCGGTCTATGTCCTACCAAAACAACCAAACAGGACACCTAATTATGTAAGTCTGGTCCTGATCCCTCAGTCACAATCACAACCTGGTACCAAAAGGGTCTATATACCCAAACCAATGCAGATCATTTAAACGGCGGCCTCAAATATATATATATATATATATATATATTTATAATATGTATATATATATATATATGATTGGGACGTTCCCCTACCATTCTTGATCCACCCGGGTTTTGATTGCGGCTATCCAGGCTTCACCTCTGAATGCTTTCGGTGCCCGGCCTCTCCCGCGCGCGCCGCCAGGAGGTGTTGAACCACTGGCGGGGTGCCGCCAAGGACGTCACTGAGGATCTGCTGACGCATGTCCTGCACGTCGAGGTGTCTTATTTGAGTGCGTCTGTTTGTTGAGGGAAAACGAAATGGGAAACCGCAGCCAGTTTAGGGCGTCCCTGAACACAAAAAAAGAAACATACCCTCATAGCTTCCCTCTACTTGGTGGTTATGTTATAAAGATGCTGGGGTTCAAACCTCCAATCCAAGCCACCAACTAAGGGTAAACTGCTACCCATTTGCTCGAGTCGAGGGCTTCTCTTATTGGACACCGAAGGCTAGAAAACACGGAGGCCCTTGCCTCGCGGGTTGTGGAAGGCACCTCCGGCCGCTGCATCTCCTGCATGGCCTGCCACGATTCGCAGCGTTTCGACGTGCCTCGGGGGAAAAACCGAAGCGATCAAAAGGACATGATCCAAGCGCCCGCTTAGAGGCTGACTATACACAAACGCCAACCATCTAAAGTAGTGGTTCAGGCAGCCAGCGCCACGCTTGCACCGCTCTCATCTAGCTCCAGCCCACCCACCTCCGGCCACCTATTCACTCAGGTCCCTGTGTTTGTTACCCACAGCTCGGGTGGAACCCACTGAACGTGGTAGAAATCCTTGGGGCATCAACCTTCAGATCTCATCTCTCAGCGGATGCTCAGCTCCCGCCAAACGTGCCATTTTGAGACTATGGCTCCATGGCATAGCCAAAAACCCCAGTAAGCTGAGGAATCCCACGTCATTCAAAAGGTCTCAGTCTTTCCTTGCCTGGTTCTTGGACACCTCCCGTTTGACTAGTCGAAAGAGGCAACTAATGTAACAAAGTTATGTCTCTCTCACTTGTTACATTCCTTGCTCTTTAAGCCATTAAGTTGACCAAGGCTCCCAGGACCTCAACCCTTTGCAAATCTATGTGCACGTTACTTCTCACTTGTTCCTCGCAGCTTTTCCGATCCCAAGTTCACCTGTCCGATCCCAAACAGGGGTTCAATTAAAACAACCGCCACTTTTTGGAGCTTCCAAACAGGGAAATGGCTCCGAAACCCTGCCCAAGGATAGGGGTTGCACCAAAAACTCTTGGAAGCTACCTGTAAAACGGGCCCCAACTTCGCCGCCCTGACTCAACCCCTTCGCTTCTCTTTCGCGCCTCGTCCATGGTCATGAGCCGCGCAGACGGCGCCTTCCGATTCACCGTGGCGCTCACGGAGCCCATCACTGCCGTGCCCTGCACCTGGCCACCGGCGGCAGTGGGCAACGAACAGTGGGTGGAGCAGTCCCCACACACGCGGGATGAACCCGAAGGCTGGTGGTTGATACTTGCTAAAATATAATGGTCCTTGCCAACATCACCGAGGGATCGTTCCATGTTGCCATTTCTTGAAAACCAGCTTCTCAGCTTGGTTTGGTTTCTTGGGACCGGGGCGGGATTGCGCTTACCTTCAAAGGGCATGGACCAATTCGGGGGGTTGCCTCCCCCCCCCGAAAGTTTCTGAGTTCCCGCAGAAACCCGCAAAGAGACCTAGCTGAATGGAAGTGCAATCCTCAGTGGACAGCGGAGCCTCATGGGAAATGGTCATGGAAGCAAGCGGTCGCGAGTGGCTTTCGGCACCATGCGTGTGTCATTATGTTCCAACTGTTGCCTCAAGCTGACAGGTGCTTGGGTTGCAAAAGCAAGAGACTAATTTTGACACATTGTTCTGATCAAGAACTGTTGGTACGGCGTCAATCAAGTATCAGGCTTCATACGGTAACCTTGGCAAAGCACGCAGCACATTTTGTGCGTCGATGGCATTGCACGGCATTTGACTTGTTGATAAGTCGCGAAAGCTCGGCCTAGATCTCTCAGTCGAGAGCCTTCACTGTCATTCGCACGGGCACTCCCTCAACGATGACGATGCGACGGTGAAACTTGAAGGCATCTTCTGCTCCAAGATGGTTGATGATAAACATGTTGTTTTTTGAGAATTGCAGCTGGGCGTTCAGCTCGGTGAGGGCTTTGAGCTGAGCTGCTTTAACCCAGCTGTCAGGCACCTCCTGACTGTCTCCCAAAGCACGCACAATAAAGCGGTAGCCATTCCGCGCCTTGTGCACGTGCCCTTCCGTGAGTACAACGGGCCCTCCATCCAGCGGTAAACGCTCGTTGAAGAAGAATCCTTGCCCGCCAGACAAGCAAAACGCATCCTGGATGATTTTGAGCGCCTTCCAGCAAAGGCTGCCCAGAATCAGAGAGCTCTTGATGAGCTTCTCCTTCCCTTCCAACTTGATGCATTCAGACTGAACCTGCACATTCAGCATTTTGCATAAGTGTTGCCAATGATCCCTGGCCACCGCTATGTCGCGCACCATGGTGGCCAAGACTTGCAGGAAGAGGCGCCTCTTGGCCGCGTTGCTCATGGGGCCGTGCACATGTTCCGCTTCCTCGGGCACCTCTGCGGAGCCGGTGGCCAAGAACCAGAAGCGATGGCCCGGGGAAGCGTCGAAGAGCCAGGACGGCGCCTCGGCCTCCTCTCCGGTGGCTTTCCGCTGAAGCGCAACACAGGGGGTGGCTTTCAAAGGAAAAGGTGGAAATCCCCTGGGAAATGGAGAAAAACCCATCTGAACCAGTAACCCACTCTCTACCTAAGAGCCTAAGATGGAACACTCGTTAAAACCCAACCAACCCAAACAAAGCCTGGCACACTTGGGCTGAAAATCATCTAACTATGCTGACCCAACTGGTTTGAACATGTGTGCAGTACATGACAGCCGGAGTTCCAACACGTTTAAACAAGTGTCAGCCGGAAACCGAACATGCTTAAACGAATTGGTGCTTAAACGTGTTTAGCCCCCTGCTCCTCATACTTCCGGTCTTTGAGGTTGGGCCCCAGCTTTTCCAGCACTAACAAGGCCTCCTGCCGACAGTCCTGCGCCTCCTGCAAAGTCGCAGCTGCCTTGTGCTCCTGCTGGTTCTTCCGGAATTCTGCAACCTGCTCCTCCATGGTTGCGACCTTCTGAGCGAACGGGGCACATTTCAAAATGGCCTGCGGGCTGATCGTCTCCACCGCGAATGTGAATTGCTGACCGCTTGCCTCCTCCTCCTCCCAAGAGTCGGGCAAGTCCGACTTGGCTCCCGCCAGCAACCCAGCCACGCGCCGCGCAAACATCACGCTCACCTTTTGCTCGTGTTGGCCAAGGCAATCAGCGGGCTCTGAGCTGATAAACAGCGGCTGTGGGTTGCGAAGGCTATGAAGAAGGTTCAGAGGCAAAGTGGACAGCGTGCCACTGCAATATGACTGCAGCAAATCATATTGCACACGTTCTGCCAGAAATGTTCTCACGACAGGATCCAAGTCCCCCGGTGGGAAGACACACGTCAAGCCGCAAGCCAGACTAGACTTCCATGTCCAGGCGTTGTCAAAGCCATCAAACTGACCGTAAGCAGGCCTTACTTGCCCAGGGACCTGGAAACAAGGTTAACCATCTAAGCTTCACCAAGCACGGACCAAACCAGGGAAACCAAAAGGTTAGAAGATCGCCTTTGGGCAACTGAGAGGCAGGTCATATTGACGCAAGAACAGTTCTACTTCTGCATCTGCAAGCTTGTGCTGCGCTACTGCCTTCCAGTCGAATACCTTGATGCTGATTGAGAGGGGGAACTGGGTCTGCAAGGGCGAGATGGGGCGCTTCAGGGTCTGACCGTCGCGATCCTGGATGATACAGTCCTCGGCATTCCATCTTTCGAACAGCAAGCCGAGTTGCCCTTTCCAATTGAGCCATTGAAGAGTCTCAGAAGCATCTCTGGACGATGGGGCAATCAACTTGACCTCCTCTACCAGCTGCACAATGGACTTTTCCTCCGAAGTTGCAGTGGAAAAGTCGGTTCCAGCCAGGCACGCCAGCGCCTTCAAAGACTCAAAGTGGGGCAGCCCTAAGGCCGCCAAGCGTCCAGGCACCCACAAACCCTTGGCGCGCAACTGGCGCTCCTCTGTGAATGAAAATGACTTCGAAGGCACAACGCAACCTTCGAAACTCACCAAGAAGTCCCCATCATTTGATATCAGAAAGCTGGCTGCTTGCTTCTTAGCGTACAATGCCGTCACGGCGTCTGCATCAATCTGCAAGGAGTGTGCCCGCAGGATCCGGTGGCCGCCACCTATCCTTTTGACCACCTCAAGCAGGACCCTCTTCATTTCCATCATGCAAAGCATCCCGCCGCCGCGGGGGCAGTATCCGACCTTGCCGTACGTCAAAACCGCCTCCTGCTGCTTCAGCAGCTTGTCACATGTGCGGCGCAGCTGTTCTTGCTCTTTCCTTCAAAACCCACTCGCATGGTTGCAACGCACTCTTTTTTGTAGCCCCCTACTAAAACTGATCAGAACCAAACAACAAATACAAAAAGCAACTTGATCCAAGCACAGTGAAGCGTCGCATCTGCGCATGGCTGTGGCATGCCGTCCAAGACGAAGTGCAGCTCTGCGCCGGGACATGCCTCCACGATCTTCAGCAGGATCGCCCGAAGTAACTCCTCCATCTCCTGCAGCCGCGGCAGCCCTGGCCAGCCCAACTGCCAGCTGGGGCCGGTGGCCAGGTCCATCAAAAAGTTGGTGCCGTCCACCACAATGACCTCACTGAGGCCTTTCTGCCGCGCCTCCGCCCAGATCTCCGCCAAAGGCTTGGGTTCGTATTCACGGGACACGTGCCCGTTGAATCCGCATTTCACTCCCATGGCACTTTGGCTCCCGTGAGCCAGGCACCACTTTTCCCTTGAACCAGGTGCCTGGCTCAAGGGCCAAAATGTGTTGGCTACCTTTGAAGCCGCGAAACTGGCGGCAGGCGACGTGCAAAATTGTCTGGGACTTCTGGAGGTCGTGCATGGCATCTTTGTTGCTGGATTGTGCAAGGAAACCAAAACGAAGACATTTGGAGGGGGACCAAAACGAACACATGTGGAGGGGCCCCATATTTGCAAACATTTTTTTTCTGGGTAAACAAGTAGCGTCCGGGGCCATGGAAAGCTTCTGCACGGACTGCTCCGAGCAATGCTCGAAGTGCGCTATAAGCTCTGCGCAGGAGTTGTCTCACTTTGCAATCCCGACAAGTCAAGGATATATGGGTGTCCTTTTGAGGGTGCCACTTTTTGTGGATTTAAAGGGAACCCAAAAGAACACCGAAGCCATTTTGGGGTCTCCCTTAAAACCGACATACTTGTGTATTTCAGACAGACCGACCTGCCAGGGCGGAGTTGGACATGTGGGGGTTGATCAGGTCCGTGATACATGGGATGACCATTGGTTAAACCACGAAAAAACATATTTGATATTTCAATCGCCAAATGGGAAAGGGGACCCTTGGTCATTTGGGGGTCAGGAATATTGATCAACCCCCATGTGTCAAACCAGGGATCCTTTCAACTGGGAATGATATCCCCCCGCAAAAACAAACACACACACACACAACACACACACACACACACACAACAATCAGCGGCGCTTCGACTGTCATAGTTCAAGTAGGTTGGCCACAAAAGGAAACAAAGGTCGTTGTTCACTCTTTTTCCACCAAAAGGTTGTTTGTCTTTTTCAGGAACAGCTCGGAGCAACGTGGCTGATCTTTGCATTGGAACTCCCAAGACTAGCAACTGCCGAATCTGGCCATTGCTCGAAATGGTGATGTCTCACAATAGGGGAACCACCGAAATGGTGGTTTGGCCCTTTGGTTTGCCTGTAGAAACAACCAACAGAGGGTTCCCCCCCCCCAAAAAAGAAACCTAAATCCAGGCGTTGCCCTCCCGCGACTCAGTGAAAACCTCGATCGGTCTGCCTTGACAGTGATCCCAGAGTTGCCCACCATCTCCGGCGACGTCCCCGAGCTGCTGTGATAGACACCGCCCCCAGTGCCGAAGCCCCCCAGGATCGCGCGCCCGTTCCTCAGCTGATTCCAATCCCCCGAAACCTGTTCCCCATGAACCTCAACCTTAAGACGTTTGGGGGAAACCAGAGGAAGCAGGGTTCTGGGGGTTACGAGATTCGATCCAAAAAAGGCGCCAGAGCGGCTATGCAGGCTGACATGCCTGGGGGCATGCTTGGTGGATAGTAGCGTTTCAGCAAGCGGATATTCAAGAAGGACAGTTTGGGGGGGGGGGACAATGTAATTGAGGTGCCACTATTCATGCCTTACGTAGCACGGTACGTAAGATGTCCATTCCAACGCCGCCTGATGCAAATAGAATCTATGCGCAGGTGAGGTGCTATGGCAAGTTGTCCTCCTGTGCGGCGCAATCAACACAGTTGAGCGGACCCATCAGACCACCTGCCACTGTCACTTTTTCCGGCTCTGACCTGAATTGAATCTTGGCCAAGCGCCACGTATGTCAGCAGCCCAAATTCCGACACCTTCATGACTTCATCCGTGTCTTCTTCAGCTGTGGGCACAATGCACGAATCCTGTCCCTTCCCCCATTGAAAGAATGGCGCACCCAATTTGGATGATGAAAATCCTTAGGTTAATTTTGGTGGCTATATTAACCCCCATTGTTTTCATGGTGGCAACTGAACTGCAGGTGTCTGAGCAGAACAAAATAGAACTTGCGGAACATGCTGCACACGACTGACCCGCAGAAAACCCAAACATCAAGCTCATGAAAGTGAAATTCACACGAGACGCACCGGTGCAATGGAAATAAGTATCAGTGATTCCATTTGATGGAGTGGATATCTAGTGTCTTTACATGCTGGAAAAAATGCATCCAGGAGCACCCAAGATGCAACTTTGAAGACTGGAAAGCCCACCAAAACCTTTGTTCTCCAGCTGTTCTCGCCTCAACAAGGACAGCGGAATCCTTCTGCTCATCGCTCAAAGAAGGCATTTCCCACCCACCCAAAGGGACCCACCAGACGGACTTTCCCCAATGTATATGGAAGAACCCTAATTATGCCGCAAACCGCAAGCCCGACGACTGGCACACTGAACATCCACGAGTATCATTCACAATTGAAATCCAGACGTACCTGGGCTGTCCTCAGATCCCCCGCTAAAAGTTTAACTGTTAGTGGGTTAAATGCAAATCCCCACTAAACACTAAAGGCTAAAAAGCTAAGGGGATTGCTGGGAGCCACCAAGGTACGCTTTCCGACCTGCCACCTTTCACCGACCACCTCCGACACCTCGACCGCTCCGAGCGCATGGCTGCACCACGTTCACGTTCGGAGGCACGATGAGATGCACGCCACCTCAGTTTTGGACAACATCTCGCCGCGCTGTCCGTTTTCAGATCCCCTGCAAATAGTGGGGTACATGCCAACCACTCTTCCAATCAAAAACCACTGCGTATTGTAGTTGCTCGAAAAGTGTGACTTTTAGTGGGTTGAATGAAAACTCGACCACTAAACAAACTAAAATCTACTGTACTGTGGATGGTTGCGAAATCCGGTCGCACCACTTTAGCCAGGGGAAGCCATTGGTGGTGAAACGGGGGCGGTTTCCCATCTACCGTCTACAAGAACCACGGTTCAAAACCAAACCACCAATCCAAACCACCAGCTAAGGGATACCTGAATCTAGGAAGGTTCCCTACCCCATGAGCCTTAGAGGATGCTGGGCCTTTTCGTGCCTGCATGGGGTCATTTTCTCGGTTCAAACATGTCTTACGGTAGTTCGTACATGTTCATATCATGAATCTTTGGGAGTTGGTAAAACACGCTTGTGCCTCCCAGACTGAAACATAGCATCCCTCGCTTTGTTGCGGAAAAGAAAACAAGGCATAGCCAAACATGTTTTTCCCCAAAAGCTTCTATCAACAACATGTCCTGTCACAAAAACTGCTGCCTACTACCGTGATGTGTACACAATCGTCTGGACCATTCGCCTTCCAAGCTCAAATTGGCACATGTTCGAACCCATGCACTGGACTCTGGGTGGGTGTGGGGTCGTCTTGGGTCTCAATAATAAGTTTATGGATTGGTTTATGATATCTTTCCCCTCGTTCAATCACGAGCAGAAAGACGCGGTCAAAACGAGATGCTTCCCTCTCCAGGGTGTACCTGATACAGCCGAGATATACCCAACACGCACATATGGCTTCTGAGTGAGCTGTAGGGGTACAGCCTCAGGCCCTCCGGCCTTCTGGCTAAAAGGAAAAAACCATTAAACCCACTTTGGTTGCGGTGACTCCTCTGCAAAAAGCTTGATTTTGTGTGGGCCCAATGTTGAAAACCCACTGTTTCCAAAAAAACAATGTCCAATGATCCAACCAAATAGCTATAAAGCCACAAGGGCGCGATGCTAGACTGGGTGCCACCTCCAATCAACCCTTCCCAATGCTCCCTGCCGCTGCCCATCCGAAGGACTGCATCAAGAGCATGTTGTTTCTTGTGGCTTTAAGCTTTGTTTGCTTCCTGAGGGGTACCCATATTTAATTTCAGCCTAAAATCAGCACCACTTGCCAAATAAAGTAGGCCTCTTTGAAAGCAACAAATCTGGATGTGTCGGACCCCTGTTCCCGTCGCACCCCCGACCCGAGAATCCGAGACCCGCACCCCAAAATGCAGTGGCCCGGACAGTCACCTGGAGTCCAAAGATCTGACCCCTTGGAGTTGTTGCGACTGGAAAAACCCATGAATGCACAAAGCTGGGAAGCCCGCTGTTCAGAATGCGTCGAATTCTGCGGTGTCGGAATAGGGGACGGAAGCTGGCCATGCCGGCGATCTCTCCAAATTACTTATAACCTAGTTGGGTGAATTGTAATATTCGCCAGACTGAAACAAGGCACCCAGCAAAACCTATCTCACGCGGTCGCACACTCTGAGAAAGCAACCCCCACATGTGCACATGAAACGATTGCATGTCACTCACATGTATCTCAGAGTCCGAGCAAATTTGGGGCTTGATCAAAAATCGTCCCGAGTTGCGGAATCCATTGCCAGTTTTGGGAACAATTGACCCTCGTGACCCTTAGACCACCTCAACGGCCGGCAAAGGGAACCTGTTTATGGCTGGATCCCTTTTTCAAGCACCTCGCAAACCAACACTACTTTTGCACACGTTTATTCCTCCAGGGCCCATGTGAAAGGACTGAATCAGACGCTTGCAACCTTTTTGTTCCGATTAAAACCGCACCCCCGATGCTTTTTGGACAGGACCTGGGATTTTGGACATGGGAAGCAGTTGTTGGGGGGTCGTGGGGGTTTGCCGTTGTTTTCACGTATGGGTTTTGAAGGTAGAACCAATAAAACATCAATCCCAATCCCACACCTGAACACTTTCTTGGGCCGGGCTTTTGTAAACGAACGCCGACTCGTAGCCCACGACAGACCTAACGACTCGACTCGCCGCTCGCTCCGCCTCCGGTCGCACGAAGAGGGCCTGGGAGAAGTCCAGGGTGGCGCCCCCCGCCACCGCCCGCGCGGTGATCTCCGGCTCCGGGATCCACCTCGGTCCATCGATCGGGTCCGGTCCCCGGGTCGGAGAGCCCTGGAGATGGAGTGGAGTGGGTCATCTGAAGACTTGGTTGCTGCTGACCCCTCTGCACCAAGCTTGTGTGTGTTTCTAATGCTTTTGATGGGTATAGGGAAAATCCGATGAAATGGTTTCAACCAAAAAGTTAAAAAGTTCCAAGATCCGTTTCCGGATAGCCACAAAGGAGAAAGACGTGGGATTCAACGTCTTCAACACGGCTTTTCCCCACCCCCATTTGGGCAGGGAATTAAAAGGGAAACCAAAACGACACCAGCCATTTTGAGGGAACCTCAGATGTTGGTGGCTCTTTTTTGGAGTTGATTCAAAACACAAGAGACGATTCCGGGGATCTCTAAACCCAACACTGTTCAA